ACAAAATGTTCAAATTTTCCCCTTTGTTAATCTGATATGTTGTTGCAATTATAAATCTCTTTTCTTGAATAATGAATGTCTTCTCTAGTAGGAGACGTTGCCCGACTTCAGCGGCTTTTTGACATCACGTCGACTGGCACAACAAATTTGCCGCGGTTTGAAGGTGCTCGACTTGATCACGTGCACGTCGAAAGTTCAAGTTGTTGTTTCCCTAGAGTGAGTTTCGTTCGCCCTGGGGAGTTAGTGAGTTTTGAACCATGACACGTGACAAGTTCTCCTCCAATCGGAAACTGTATTTGAGTTGGGAGGTTTAACCATATCTGTTCTTTAATCGAAAAGAATATGTGATTGTGAGGCTAATTTAAAGCTCTCTAAGGCCCTGTCCATTGGAATTATTTGAAATCGGAAGTTTCACTCCCAAAACACATCATTTTTTTTTTCCGTTCACACTACGCCGGAGGAATTTAAAAACGCAACAATCACAAGCCATTTTGGATTTGCGTTTGACGAAAATTCGCTCAGGGAAATCACATGATTATCGTGACGCCATCGTTTTCAAAAAGCACTTGTTTCAAAATGTTTTCTGTTTACACTAAAATTCAGAGCCCGCGTTTTCAAATTCCACAGGTTTGAAGACTATCAAGTTACGAAAAGCTCTGTTTTGGTGACGGATTAGTGTGGACAGTTGGCCTACCAATAGAAATAAAGCTGCGTTGTCAAATTCCTCCGGCGTAGTGGGGACGGAGCCTATGTGTCAATAAAGACACAATTCTTTATTTTTTTTTTCTTAGATGATTTGTTATTATTATTGTACTCGGCTTCGTCTGAACAAAAAGGCACCTAATCGGCAACTTGCCTAGATCTTAGTTCGGAAAACTATTAAAACTCATAAACAAATTAAATAGGCTGTCACCTGTCCAGTTGGAGTTAATTAAGGAACATTGCTTCAGAATTTCTCCGTCCACTGGTGTTCTTGTCCAAAGAAAACCTTGTGATTTTTCTGGAGCACAGAAGTCTGTTAAAGGAAGTAACAATACGTCATGAGTGGGACACCGTGACGATAAAATTAGAGTTGAAATTTTGTTTCCTCTGATAATTCTTGTACCGAAAATAAAATAAAAAATATAATACAAAAAGTGTAAAAAAAAAAAATAATAATAATAATAAAAAGAGTGAGAGAGAGAGAGAGCGGAGAAGGGAACTGAAAAATATTCCTCTACGGGAAAAAAAAAAAAAAAAAAAAATTAAAGTATGCCTATTTCCATGACAAAAAGATCGAACGTCTCCTGATACATCTAACAGGTGTAGCGCTCGGAATTGTTTTAACAAATTCAAGACACACGCAGTTTAGCTCTACTAGACGAATTTTCGTGAAGATTTCAATTAATCGCCTCATCAATCAAAGAGTAGGAAAATGACATGTACCGTTTACCTATCTACTATTAATCTGCGTAGGCTATTCTCTAGTTCCAACTTCTTTAAAGTGTAACCTATTTCCATTTTTCCTCTCTTCTAACGTACATAGTTCCGAACAAAATAACTTACACTGATCACAATCCCTCTCGTCTGATCGATCGCCACAATTGGGACGGATGTTACATCTGTCCCCAAGCGATCTAATCTCATCACCACTTTCGCACAAGAAAAGGTCACCGTTTGATATTAAAGACAACTCTCTTATCCCTAAAATGAAATCGATATAACAGGAAATATCAAGAAAGGGTAAGAAAAGCCACGAGGAACATTGATGTGAGTGAGTTCAACCAAATTTACTTATATATTTACATATATAAAACGTGAGAGACAACAGCGATCTAGACTGGGCTAAATTCAGTGGTCAAGTTTAAAGAATCACCAACGAAGTACACTGTATACGAAAACAGCCTTGAATATACATTCTAATACAATTTAGTTGACTATTAGTCGTGGCCATGATCTACTTAATGTGCAGAGAATCTTTGCCATAACGTTTCGTCGTAAGCAAAGTAAACTCTTTATTATCTTCTTTTATATCAGCATATTTTTACAAGAATATCGACGCTTTTTTGTGATGAAAATTTGTAAATAAAACGCAATTTATGTTTTTAATTAAACCGTATAAGATTCTTCTTTCTCTAAACGGCAAAACCAGCCAAAAAGCAACGGAAACAGCACTAGCCGCATGTTAGATGCCCTGATGCCTGCAGCCAGCTTAATTATCACTTAGGGCAGGAAACTCCAGATCTATCTATTTTCTAACGAAGATTGGAACCATTGAATTTTCACTCTTAAAAAAATTATAAGAATAATCATTTTGTCTTGTGTCCTCTAAGCGCGATGTCAATATCACGATACTTCAATGTAAAGTTTGCTTCTTTAAATTCGATGGTAAGTAAGTTGTAGTTACAAAAAAGGTATATTTGGTTTTGTAACCAGGTCTTTTTTACTGTTAATCCTTACACTGGCTATTTTGAACACGTTTTTGAGCTAGCAAACTTCACGTGGGAAAATAGATCGACTGATCGACGATTCATTTTTTAATTAAATGATCGGTTGATTGGTTGATTTCTTGATTCACTCAGTTGCACAATAACCGAGACACAGTAAAACCCCGAGTATAAGAACCTGGATTCTAAGAACCTGTTAGGCAAAAATTCTCTATTTAGACCCCCTTTGCATATTAATCTGTCATACATTACTATGCAAAACCTGTTTAGGCTAACGTGGAAAAATCCAGGTTCTTATACACGGGTTTCCACTGTTTTCAAACCTCTGGAGAGGCACTATCGAACCAATTGAGGCTCGAAAACAGAATGAACCTGTGCTAAACCACAACTTAAACACAGAGCGAATACTTAGAACTGCAGAAACAACATCTACAACAACAATTACATCATCAGCAATGGCAACAGCAACAACAACACCAACAATCGATATTAATCGCTTTTCAGTGGCCACTGTTTGATTGTTAAAATACCTCTAGACATGTAAGCTGGAATCGTTGTTCTCAGCGCAAACTGTGTGTGTTGTTTGGGTGTGGGTTTGTTTGTGATCCTGAATAAATGAAGTAAAAGTTGTATTATTGTAACCTCCCTTGATAAGCCTGGGTGCTTTAGGGAAAACAATGACAAATATGTCTAAATAAAAAGACAAAACAGAGCAAAACAACAACAACAATCACCATATTCATTGGGACAAAGCTTTATGAATTATACCAACCTGGTATCGCGCCAGTGCACAGCACTCTACCGTTATCAACATAGCAGCCAGGCCTTGCTCTTTGATCAGAACTGGTGCAGTAAAAATCGACGCCATTTTCCTTCCAGCGTTCTCCATCGTAATACAATTTATTGTTCCAGCTACAAGCTAGGTGAAATAAAGATTGGTCCCTTTATAAGCTAGTCGATAACAGGAATCTCGTTGGAAAATGCAACAGAAGTAGGGTTTATTCTCAAAATTTTGAGCCTTTAAGGAAGAAGACAGACTTCGAGGACAGTAAAAACACAAGATTAACTACATAGACCACACGGTATCCAAGCAAGGGTTGGACATGTTTCAGATATCAAACAAGGGAGCTTAGTGGACAGAACGCGTGCGTAAATACCGTGCAGAACTTTTTCAGTGCTTTAATTCCAGTTTCCTCATTTAATATTATCATTTCCTTTATTTCGTTTTTCACTGAGCGGTAAAGTTGCAGCACTTATTCGGTTGCACAAAACTCTATGTACCATATTTTTTAAATAAGGAGAATGCAAAGCATAAAAACTCATAAAGCAATTAAAGCTCTTAAAGGCCGTCATCGTCTTCTCAAAAGATATAAATAGTAATTCGAACCGTCAAGACTGAAATCTCCTCCGTGGTACATTGCACCTGTAATTGAACCGGTACAGGGCTTAGTGGGAGTTTTCGTGAATGACATTAACGATACATTTGAAGATTAATTTAAGGTGGCTACTGACCGGCATGGAATTCAACTGCGCCAACTTTTGTGTATGTGGAATTCGAACTCAATATCGGAGAAACTCTTTGTTGTTGTTGTTGTCAAGCCAAGCGTGACTGCACTTTTAATAACCTCAACACGCCCATGGCATCACACCAACCTCGTTCCCAGGCTCTCCCTCCTCCGCCTCCCTTGACGGTGACAAGAAAATCCCTGGTTGCGGCTGGTTATGTGACCACCCAGAATCTGGATGATATAAAAATCTGTTCGGTGGAAGGGGTGGAAGGGTGTTTTGATTGTTGCTGTGACAAATTTTGTGGGTTTCAAATGCCCATGTCACAGCAAAAAATTACCCGCTTTACCGAGGTTTGAAGTCAAATTTTGCCGATAAAGAATGCTGTATTATATCATATTCTTCTTCGTGCGATATTTTGGATTTTAAAAAGTATTTCTGTCACGGTTTGCCGAGTATTCTGACTTGCATTTGATTTACAAGAATGTGGAATAATTTACAGTTTTGTTGACATTAATCCCGCACTTATATTTCATCTGCAGCAGGTTTATTTCAGTTTACATTTAGACACAGATGTTTAAACATGATTCTTTGGCATAGTCAATAATTATATTTTGCAATTGGTAAGTAAACAAATAATTCGTTCTATACAGCGAACAATATGTGTGGTTTAGGCAACATGACACAGCGAACGAAACTTCTTAGCATAAAATCGAACGGCTGGAATTGAAATCTTATTGATACATCAGTACGCTGGATATATACAAATTCATTTCGTTTAATCTGTGTGAAGCTTAGAGTAGAACTGTGGAATTCCAAACGTTTACTCTCCCGCGTGTCGTCTTAGGATAACGATCAACGATCGCGTTTCTTTCGCTTCAGTTGAGATTCTTCGTTGACTCTTCCCCGATGGAAAGGTTTGGGTCATTGGTGGTCACATGAGCAGCCACAACCAGGGTGTTGCTCCTCAACGACAAGGGTGGCAAAGACGCGGGAGCCTGCGGACGAGGTTGGCATCACACGTCACCAGGTAGCAGACTTTTGAGTATGGTTTACGCTAATGTAAAATGATGCATCTGGCTGTTGCATTCCTGAGCAAAAGTTAGAGAGAAAAACTGGGTCTCGTTAACGCGAGTCGCTTGTAATTTTTAAAGACTAAGCTTCCAAATTGCAGTTTTAGTTTCATGGGCCTCTTGCAGGAGCTCTGCGCCGCCCCAAGTTATCTTAAACAGGCAAAGTGTATTTATAAGAGCCTCAGTAATAAAAATTTCAAGTAGAAGAATGCATATGTTTATCTCTTCATTGTTGTCGACGTTAGTTTTGCATCTATTCTTAAAAGTCGTTTGCTACGAGGTTCCACAAATTTTATTCCATGGTCAAATTTGTCTTTGATAACACCCAAGGGTTTTTCCCCTCCTGCTTTTGTTAAGAGTCCCTGTCCATAAAAATGGAAAATAACTCGGCAAGGGTCGCAAATTCGATTTCGCTCATATTTTCATGGTAGACAGGCTAGGGCATGGCAAAAACTACTGGTTAGTTTTTTTGGCAAAATATCCTTTTATTTCAAAGAAATATGCAAATTACCAACTTCCGTTAAAATCGTCATTTGACGCACCATTTTCTTAAACAAGTTTGAGAGCCTCGCTTGCAAAACCACATCATTCTTCCGTCTTTAAAACACTCAAATATTTT